CATAACGCTGAAGACGCGCAGAAGTCATTTGTGGTAATTTTGAATTTTGATGAAAAATTCTGGACAATGGCTGATTATCAGTTACGAGCTTGAATGATCTCCCGAAAAGGTATTCGTGAAAATGTTGTATGGCAAAAACTATTGCTAAAGCCTCTCGGTCTAGCTGTGAATAATTTTGCTCCGCTGGGGTAAGCGATCTGGATGTGTATGCTATAGGCTTTTCTTCGCCCTTAATGATATGTGATAAAACTCCCGCTATCCCTGTAGGACTAGCGTCGCATGCAAGTTGAACTTCTAATTTTGGGTTGAACGGCATAAGAACTCTATCGCTGGCAATTTCTTCTTTTAATGTGTCAAAAGCTTTTTGACATTTATTTGACCATTGAAAACGTGAATTTTTTTCAATAATTGACGTAGGGGTGTAGTGATTGTTGAATTATTTGGTATGAATCTTGCATAGTATGTCACCATACCTAAGAAACGTCGAACATCATCCGTGCACTCGGGTGTTGGCATTTCTAAAATTGCTTTGACCTTTTCAGTAGATTTTTGCACTTTATTATACTGAATTGTATGCCCTAGGAATTCAATTTTTGTTTCAAACAACTTACATTTTGCAATATTTAAGTGTAGATCATATTTATCAAGCTGATTTAAGCATGCTTCCAGGTTGGCCTTGCACTTTACCATAGATTTCCCATGTACGACGATGTCGTCAAAATAGGATTCAGTGTTGGGAACATCGCGTAAAATTTGGTCAATGATTCTATTGAATTCTGCTGGTGCTGTTTTTATTCCAAATGAAAGCCGATTCATTAGGTAAGTTCCTTTGTGCGTGGAAATAGTTTGAATCTGGCTTGATTCTTCATCAACTGGCACATGTAAGTATGCCTTGTATAAATCAAGTCGACAAAAGTATTTCGAGTCCCTCAGATTATTGAAAATTTGATCAATTCTTCTTATAGGGTAATGGGCGTCTACTAGCGTTCGATTTACTCCGACTTTATAATCGACGCACAATCGCACGATTCCATCTGGTTTCGGAATAACCACTAGCGGCGATCCCCAATCACTGTTGTTCGTTTTTGTAATTATATTCGCTTTCTCTAATTCATCTAACTCCTTATCAAGGCGATCTAATAATGCATATGGAATTTGACGATCTTTAGTATAAACTGGAGTAGCCCCCTCTCTCAATTTTAGCGACACCTTGTAGTTTGGTATGCACCCGATTTTCTCTTCAAAAACACTTGGAAATTTTGATGTAAGATCTTGTACCGTTGCAGCTTTGGTGTCAAATGTGGTTGTTACTATGTTACAATTTGTTCCATCGAGTTCGTTGAGATTAATTTTTAGGCGTCTTATCCAAGTTCTACCTAAAATTGCTGAACACCTATCTGGGACGGCGTATAAATCATCAGTAATTGCCATTTCGTTAAATTGTACGTGAACTCGTATTTTACCATCTGGAACAAACGTATCTTGCGTGTAAGAGCGAAAAACGATGTTTATTGGAATTAGTTTTTGCGATAATTTTAATTCACTGAATTGACTTCTGGGTAAAAACGAATAAGCGGATCCAGAGTCTACTTCGAATTTAATTGGCTTACCCTCAACTACAATTTTGGCATAGTAGCGCTCAGAACTCGCCTTTGTATAATCGTTGCAGAAGGCGTCCACAACTTTATAGATTCCGTACTGTGAATCTTCACTTTGAATTTGATTTGTCTTATTTTCGTAGTGACCGGCAACAGGCCTATTCGCCAATAGAGTGGTTATGCAAACTTTTGCTACATGCCCATTTTTATGACAGGCCTTGCACTGTAATTTCGCTTTGTTTGTACGGCATTCTTTTGCAAAGTGGTTATTTTTACCACACCGCAGACATAAGCCAAGCCATGCCCAATTCTGCATAATTAATTGTAGAAGATTTTGGAGAAGAACGCGATTTTGATTGTGACTTTAAAGGCTTAGACTTCTTTTTGAAAGTGATTTTGTTGATATCTGTTGAATTCGATACATTTTGTGTACCGTGCGCTAATTCCCTGGCGTCCATTTTAGCAGCTTTAAGCGCTAAAGCTTTTGAAAAAATTTCATCGAACTTGCACGTACCTGACTGAAGTTGTTCACGGATGCTGTTGTTGTGTATACCTCGGATGAATTGAGCCCGGAGGAAAATATCAGCTATCTGTGCTCTGCAACTGCATGGAGATATAAATTCACATTCATTTATACCTCTGCGAAGCTCAGTGACAAAATCTGCTACTGATTGTTGATCATTCTGGTACTTTGAAATAAATTTATGTTGCGCAACTAACACATTTTTCTTCGGCGAAAAATGCGCTTCTAATATTTTTAGCAATTCATCATACTGTAGCTCCGTTACTTCTTTTGGAGCAGCTAACGCTGTAATCGTATTGAAGTTTTTCGCTCCGATTGAATTCAGAAGTAATTTTGCACAATACTCCTTCTTCGCAGCTACATTCTTCATTTGCACGTAATTTGTGAAACGTTGAATGTGATTCTTTTACGATTCTTTTGCTGGATCGAACATATCAAAATTTGGTGCCAGTGCTGTACTGATACTACTGCTTCCTTGTCCTGCACTTGACGTTGAAGCTCCTGCACTTAAGCTCATAAGCTGTGCAACCATTTCTTGTTGCACTTTCATAAATGTGTCAAATTGCTTGGCATCCATTTTAATGAGTTGACCCTCGTTGCCAACTTTTTTAGCCGAGTCAATTGTAATTAAATATGCTTTATTTCAACAATTATAGCTTAACCTAACAATTTGAGGTGTGCACGCTATCTCGAACATTCGATATTAATTCTCCTGTCATCTTCTATTTCCCTGATTCATAACTTCCTGCCAAGGCGTTGCCAGATTGGTATTATCTCACATAAGCTGGAAGTACGTGACTACTTAAGGATACAACATAGCCCTAAACGGGGTTAGATCGCCGAAACAACAGCTCTTGGTCGGGTAAAACCCGAGTCATTCCGGTACGTAGAACCGCTGGGAATGAGCGCTGTTGGTAATCGATACAGCTATGCAATTTGTATGCAACGTGGAATAGGTGGCAATCATTTCTGCATATTTAACTCAAATTTTTTTATGCACTTGCAGCAAATGTACTATATGTATGTAAATATAGGGGGATATTACGATAACCGGGGCGACAAATTTTGACTTTGCAATTGGAAAGCTGGGCTTCTCCACTTTTCAAATATACCCACTTTAGGGGGCCGGGCCTTTCTAGTTTTCAAGATATTTAGTGTTGAGTTATTTTTTAGATTTTTTTTAATATTAATATCTTATGGGTTTATCAATCAAATAATTTAACTGCAAGAGAAATAATTTCCTCAGAATTTTGATTACTACAGGAAGTTATATGGATTTGTATTTGTTGCGGTAATTTTCTGCTCCACAATTTAAATAAAAGTTCTTTACTAACAATTGATTTTGTACCTAAGACTTCATATGTCTAAAAAGTTCTGATGGTGATCGATCACCTAGTTCAGTATTTGAATATAATTGTTCAGGTATCCTTCGCACAAAACCTTCTTGATGGTTTCGTATTTGTTGGTTAATGGCGGTGCATTGATAATATCAATAATTTTTTAAATCGGTTCTCGTTGAACAACCAAAATGTTTTGAAATTCGATATTATCATCACATATATTAATAATTTCGAATTGTCCTTCCACAAGCAGAAACCATGATTCGGGACAATCTTCCCAAAAATGAGGTAATGTAATGGATTTTTAAATATTCGAACTAAAGTTATTTTCATTTTGTGTCAAACTGTTAGAATTTATATTTTGTGTAATGTTTAAATCTGAGGTGTGAGTTTTATTTTCATTTTGGTTTTCTGTTGTTGAGAAGTTGCGTGTACGAATAGGTGATCGATGCATTTTTTAAATCTACTGGTGAAGGAGTGTACAAGAGAAATAATTTCAAAATATATGAATACTAATAAAAAATACTTAATATTAAGTAATAATGTTATAAATTTGTTAATATTATTTTAAACAAATTATTAAAATCAAAAAATAACGTAATAAATATTCAAAATTGTATATATGTAATTTAGATATTAAGTCAACGAAAGACTTAAGATACGAAATTATTTTGAAATTATCTTGCAATCTTATCTTTAAAATACAAATTAATACTAAAGTTATATTAAATCCAAAAATATAAATACAGCTCACCAATTCTGAACGAATGAAACTGAACGCTATTGCTTCAATAAGATACATATTTATGTAGAGGCCAAAACTAAAAAAAAATTTCATTGATGTGTTTGAGCTAGTTAGTTTTGCAAACTGCAACGGCAATGGCTATTATTGTTATAGATCCTTGTTGCACTTGTATAGGTTGTGAAAATTGATATATTGAAATTGTTGATGTGCGAACTGCTTTTGAAGTTGTTGATGATGTAGTTGTGAAAGCTTATCTTGTCGCAATTGTTGCACTTATGTATATATTTACTCTTAATGATCTTTGGAATTCTTGTTATACATGATTGTGGAAAGAAACTTTTGCTCAAGAGATGATTAAATGATATGACGTAACATTGCAGACATAAATTGTTGTAAACGACGCAATTATTATAACTTGTATAATTATTCGACGAGCAGGATCGCCAATATGTAGAGTTAAAATATGTTATTCCAATTTTAAATGTTTTATTGAATAAAAAACATTGTTGAATGAAAGCAAATTCTTATATTGATATTTTAAACCATAGTCATGAACAAAATTAAATTAAATAAAACAAATAAACACGTAAATAAAGCTTAAAATATTAAACCCTACACTCATATGTTGGTAGAGAAATTTTATATTTTTTAATAATTTTCTTCATACAAAATTATGAAAAAATTAACTGCTGCTTCCGTGGATATTGCAACACACGGAATAGATGTAAGGATACAGCTATAAGAGCCACCGCACACCACAGACTAAATCGGTCGCCTATTTAAATACATACTAGGGCTCGTTTGAAATATGTACATGAAGATGTATGGAGGTGCGCACACTACACCAACTTAATCGCTCCGGCCAATTAGTTGTGGTGCAATGGAAAGACTAGCGAGGCCACTAAATCGGCGGCCGATAAAGTCCGTGGTGTGCGATGAATCTAAAAATTATTCAGCCTCATTGCGAGAGTCGCACAGTGCCGCGACTCCATACAAATGATGGACAAAAATAGAAGGAGTGGTCAGAATTGGCTGAAACTTCACACCTAGAAGTATTATGCCCCTCTAATTTCAAAAATGAAATCGGTTTTTCTGTACCGGTTACTCTTTTCGAGAAAACCGAGTTTTTCTTGCATTTTTATATGAAAATAGTCATTGTGGACATGTGTTGATATAAGTGGAAGGAGGCATCAGAATGGGCTGAAACTTTACACCTGAAAGGACTATATCACGGCAATTTAAGAAAAAAAAACGTTTTTCAGCATCTGTTACCATTTAATTAAAAAATTTTTTTTTTATAATTTTATAAAAAGGTAAAATAACTCATAATCATCGTAGACATATGTTTATAAAAACCGAAATAGTATTCAGAACTTGTTGAAACTTTACACCTAAAAGGACTAACCCATGCTTATTTCAAAAATGAAATCGATTTTTCGGTACCGGGTACCCAATAAAAAAAAAAAAAAGATTTTTTTTTACATTACTATATGAAAGACAAATAAGGCATAATCATTGCTGATTGTGGTGTTTACGAAAACAGGAAGGAGTCGTCAGAATTTATTGAAACTTTACATCTGAAGTGTCTATATT